TACTGTCAAGAGATACCGCAATCGCTTCCTGTGAGTGCTCCTCAAGAATGAATAAATAAGTGCTAGGCCCTCCATCAGGTTGTGGTACAACAAGAAGATACATCTCCTGTCCTGGTATAGCAAATACAATAGACTTTTCGTAACAGTTAACCTGAGCATGGTACTGAGATAACCAGTCCATCCCAAGTATAACATCATGCGAATGCATATCTAACACTAACAAATTTGCAAGAAATTGAAGTCGGCCCATATCTATAAGGATATCACCGCTACACTCTCGTAAAATTGCGCCAACTCCCAATGGTGTATAAATATTAAGAGGTTGGTCACATAACTGAGTCGTCATACCAGATAAGATAACAAAAGATCTAGACACAAAAGAATGTGAGGCACCAGTGTCAAACAGTATACGAGCAGTTCTACCATGTATAGAAAACATACCCTCAATAGCCTGAGTAGCCTGCGCATTATGTGGCATGAAATTATAAACTCTGCCATGATGCAACTGCTGTGGAGGTTGTCCCGGAGGAAATGGTGGTGCTGGAAGTGCCGGAAAATTCTGAACTTGCCCACGTGGCATCGGTGGGGCCGGTAGAGGTAATGGTTGATTAGGTCTCGGCTGCCCATGCTGTCCCTGCTTAGCTTTGGGACACATCTTGGCCGGATGCCCAATCTCTCTACAGTGATAACAACGTCCCGTAAAAGGACCTGCCTGCCTTCTCTGTTGATTTCCCAACCACTGTTCCTGTCCGGTCTGAGGTACCCCACCTTGTCTACCCTGATTAAGGACTCCATCCCTCTGCACATCTGGGTTTCCTTTGTTTTTCTTCCAAGGTTGATATCCTTGAAATCTGCCCCGATCATTGGACTTGGTACCACTGCTGCTTCCTTTCTCCATTATCTGGTAGTCTCGGTTAGCCCGCTTATCTCCCTTGAACTTCCGGTAATCACTCCTCATCTGGCAGTGCTGTAAAGCGGCATTAACCACCTGGATATAAGTAGTATATGCAGGACTACCTATGATCACCACTTTAATCGGCCATATCAACCCCTTCACAAAGCGGTCTCTCTTCTTTTCTTCCGTATTGACCTCCTCTGGTGCAAATAATGACAAATTAATGAACTTCTGTTCATACTCAGCCACAGTCATATCCTCCTGTTGCAGATCCAGAAATTCAGTTTTCATCGCTGATCTTACTGACATAGGAAAATACTTGTCATCAAAGCGAGTCTGAAATTCAGCATAAGTCAATCTGGTTCTCTTTTCGACAGTAGTAATAGACTCCCACCACTGCAATGCATTGCCTATCAGCATAAACGTAGCTAGCATCTGTTTCTGCACTTCGGTACAGATTACCATCCGAAGATGACGCTCGCTCTCCTGTTTCCACTGATATGCTAACAGGACATTTGTGGACCCTGCAAATGTTGGTGGATTTCCCTGGATGAACGAGTGATGAATTTTGTCCCATGACATTGGCTGTGCCACTGGTTCAGGAACAGGTACTATCGGAGGAGGTTGCTGGTTTCGTAGAGCAGATGCTACTCCTGCTGCTACAGCTCGTGCAATAATATCAGCAACTTGAGGGGAAAATTCCTGATTCTCATTTTGAGTTGGGGAAATACTGCGATGACGGTTCGCATTCCTTGTCCCACGCCGAGACATCCTTCTTTTGGATTCAGAAAAATCTAACGTCAGTACATTATAATGGACCGACTAACAGAATACAAAGAACCCTAATACTTAGGCTCTAATTATCAGAATACACAACACGGAAGTATAGTAATCACAGATCCCTAAGACTCTCGAACCTGGAATGCTCTGATACCAACTGTGACACCCCCACATTTTCCACGCATAAGTTGATCAGGCTTATACACGAAAAACGAGGGATATCAAAAACAATTGGCAATATACAAGCATAGAATACAAAATGATAATAATAAAAGAATTTAGACAGGAAAGGAACCCTAAATAATACAACATCCATCCATCCTTTATTTAATATAGTACTCCATAACAACTTGGAAATCCTATGTCAAGGATTCCTAAATAGACCTGAGAGTTCAACGTCAAAAGTAAATAAAAACTGAAACTGAAGTAATGCATAAAACTTCTACCATGAACTGAATCGTAAGAGTAGATGAGTTCGGATGGTGGTCCTACACTACTAACCTCAACCTTGGAACGGGTACTGACCGTATCCTGAAATAACAACAATGGTGGGTCAACCCCACGAGCAAGTCCTCTCTACTATGACCCAAATCAGAGAATCAAATAAATTAATCATTTATATCCGGATGAGTACTATATCTGTATACATCCTAATGGAACTATCCAATGTATAACATGACCTCAACCAGAATAGACGGTGATCACTTAGACTCACACTAGGTGGTTAAGTGTCTCATTTCCCTACCCGGGAAATCAGCTATTATACATGGTGCACGGTACTGACAACACAGACTGTAAAGACTACACAGTAATAACGCATCTCAATGTACTAATGAGTTACTGAGCATAACAATTAGGCAATACATGCCAATAATAATACTAAATATACTGAGTATGTTAATTAGGCAACACATGCCAATAATATGAATAAATATACTAAGTATATCAATTAGGCAACACATGCCAATAATATTAAACCACATACCCGACAGCCATACATTTGTCTATAACAACGAATGCATAAGGTATAAATGAGTCTAAACTTATTAGCCAGCTCACATGGTTCTATATGGCAACACATCCATATAATATAAATGTGACATAATTAAACCATCCATTTATTTCCTGAGATGCACACAGCATAATAATCATGGTTTATATATCATTTAACAGTATAAACATCCCATAAGATATCATGGATAATTTATATGACTAAAACCATGGCATTATTTAATTTAACAGTAATGTTTGATACTATTGAATAAAATAATAACACTATTTATATTTAATAACGTCGTTAAATAAATCACATTCATATCCGTACGGTAAACGAGCCAATAAATGCTTAGAAAAGATTAATCGGCCATAAGAATAATTAACGGGGAATAAAATAATAATTTCGTGGCCCGTTAAACCCATAACTACCAACACAGGCCCTAAAACTCCAAGTTTAAGGTTCTGGAATTTACAAAACAGGCCCTAGGGGTATTCTGGTAAGTTCCAGCAGCTGACAGGGCCCCTCACGCGCCCCCACGCGTTGCCCTAAGCTCCCCCACGCGCAACCCAACCTTCCCCACTCTCCCACGCGCCTCCACTCGCGTCTGGCATCAGCCACGCGCGCGTTTAAGTCTCTTGCAGACGTGGCACCTCCTGGTTGGTTGGCTGTATTGACTTGCTGTGGGTGCGCTACACAGGATCACTTCATCTCATCTCACCTAATCCAAGGGTCAATGATCCGGGTGTACCGCGGTAACATGGACCGCGATGCACCGGATCAATCAGATTCATCTAAGGCCCAGGATGCGCGCGCACGCTACCCTAAAGTACGCCGCATCACACCGGATCACTCCGGTCATCTGCCCCACATCCGGTGGACGGAAAACTCGCCGGAGTCTCGCCGGAAATTGCAGAAAAGCCCCGGAAAAATTTAGAAAATTCTAGAAAAATCCCTAAAGCCTTATTTAATTATTTTCAGCCATTATTAATTTTATAGGATATTACATAAATATATACCGTCCTATATAATTAAAATTTCATTAATTTAATAAACTAAAATTAATAATTTATTAACCTCCTAACCTGGTCTCTATGCATAAAAATAAACTAAACAATTAATTTATTAATTCAAAGGGGAAAAGTAGATAATAACTTGCCTTCTGGATTTAAAATAAATCCGCCGGTTGCGCGTAGTCGGGTAAAATCGCCTACACCGGTACAGGCTCCCTTCTTTCTCTCTCTTCCTTTCACTTTTCAATAATTGCTCACTGTAATTCTTTCTTTTCTACTTAGGTGAGTTGCCTTCAGGGTAAGTTGGTTAACTAATATATATATACTAACTTATATAATATATATAATACAAATATCTAAATTTACATTTAAGTCTCACCCATTCCTCACATTCCTACCTATAAGGCTTAATGGTCATGCCTCCTAAGTCCACCCAAAACTCAAATGTCTAATATAGGAATTAAATCCCAATCCAAATGTCATTGTTTTCATCATGACATTTAATTAATAATAATATAATTACATTATTATCTTATTATCATTATTATCATTATTCTTATTTTATAAATCTTATTATTATTATTATTATATTATAATTTAATACAACAATATCCATACAATATAACTACTAACATTAGAATATGTAGAGCACATACTAAACATATTATATTAGGCACATTAAAATATTATTTTATTATTTATTAATCTTACTTTCTATTATTATAAAACACAAATAACTAAAATATAAAAAAAATTAGCATTATTATACGTAGTGCACATAATCAACATTTCACGCACAAATAATTAATTTAATAATCTAACATTAAAAGATGAATAAACCTACACATTATAACATTAATTTAAATAATCAATTCCAAAAATACGGGGTATTACAGAGAGGTTATACCATTGGGCCAAAGGCCCTTTGATAAATGAGAATTAAACTTCCGACTTGCATTGATTAGTATAAAAGTGAATATAATTTGAGTTTTTTTTTTTTTTTTTTGGTTGTTTCTCATTATTTATAGTTTTCTTATTGTGAATTTAATAAAATCAATAAATAAATTTATTACTACTATTATTTTTGTTTATACGCAGTGAAAGACATGTATGAAAGAGAGTTACATTACGCATCAGTACCGTTCGTTATATAGACCTATCAGATGACGACGACGATCAGAACCGTCCATTACTGGACCCCACCATCTGTCATGGAAGTTGCCACTTGTTGTCAGCAATTCCCCGCCACCTCTCATCCCACCTGTTGTTCGAAGCCTCCCACGCACTCTCTTTGCTTCTCTCTAAGTAGAGAGAGACAGCAAACACACATATATAAGCCTCACAAGTCACACAATACACACACTCACTCTTCTTCCTCCATTTTTTCTTCTCTCTCTACATATACACACACACAGAGAACAAATATATATATTGTAAGAATGTCGATGGAATCGAAGCTGTATTCTAGTTGCAACAGCATTTTACAAGAATCTCAGTTTCGTTCTTCACGTCTTGGTATTGGACAGGCCTTTCTCGATTTTAGACCTAAAAATCGAATTGATTGTGTTAAAGTTGCTCAATCCTGCAATCGAATTGGGGTTGGGACTTTACGGAGTCCATTGAAGCTCAAGTCTCGAACGAGTCGGCGTGTTTCCGTCATAGTCTCTGCGTCGAAAGCCGAATCTCTGGGCTCACCTACGAAAGCCGAACCTCTGGGCTCTCCGACTGTTGAAAAGCCAGAAAGCAAGACGACGACTGTGGAGTCTGTCAAACCTGTGTATGTGCCCACGCCTAGGGATCGCCCTCTTCGAACTCCTCATAGCGGGTAATTAAACGCTATATATTACTAATTTTCATTGTAATTGTTTCAATTTTGTGGTTTTAAATGTCATTGTTTAATTATTGTATAAGTTTGTTTAATTTACAAAAGTTTATATGGTGGTGATTTCTGTGAGAGTAATATTGATTTAACTTAATTTTGGCCCTTAAGAATAACTTGCAAGATGTTGAATTTGGCATGCATGGTTGAACATTGACATTGAAAATGCTAAAGCCTTTAATTTTATCCTTTATTTGGTTAAAGGAAAGAAATTCATCGTCCTTACCTTTATCCATCCTTGCTTTTATCCCATATGGCTGGGTCGGTCACCTAAATTTTCCTTTTTCCATTTTTCTGTCACACACTGTCTACTCTTATATTTAATTTTTTGAAATCGTTTTTAATTACTTTATCCCATGTAAGTTTTGATCGGCCTCTTTGTCGTTGACCTTCTGGGCAAACAATTCTTCCTCTCTTAAACGAAAGAAATTATGTAGAATGTTATTTTGGTAGTTTTTCTGGATAATACCCTGTTTGATTGCTCTTAAGGCTCCGTACGAAGAAAAAAAATATTAAAATTTTAAAACGAAAAATTATCCATCAATTTTCGGCAAGTTATTTTACATGTAGTGTCTGATGGACTCGACCTCAACCTCGACATACACCTTTACCAAATACCAATAAAGTAAAAATAAAAGAATATTTTACCTGAAAAAGAAAAAAAAATATTTTTCGTTGAAACAAACTGAGCCCAAATTAACAAGGAAATAAGAGAAAATGTTCTCTTTGATTTTTCTTCCTGCTTTTTATCTCTTGGTGGAACTCTCGTACTCCTTATTTTATTTATTTATTTTCTATTTTCAGTTTATGTCACCTTCCTACTCTTATTGGTCATGGAGAAAATGAAGGGAAAGAGGAGAAAATGATTTTTTTGAGTATTATTATTATTATTTTGTTTTGATCTCCCAGGGAGGAAGAAAGGGAAAAATGATACAGTTAAGTTCAGTTCAGTGGACCTTCAGTGATAGTTGAGCTATAATAAGTACAGTTATTTGTGCTTTTATAATAAATAAACACTATACCACCAAGGGATTTTTTTGCGGATTTTGCTTATCAATTTAATGTGTTGCATGTTAATTTATCAAACCCCTTGTGGTTCATACTCTTCTATATCATTTGTTTCTTAAATCAGGTACCACTTTGATGGGAGTCCAAGGAAATTTTTTGAGGGTTGGTACTTCAAGGTCTCAATACCAGAAAGAAAACAAAGCTTCTGCTTTATGTATTCTGTAGAAAATCCTGCATTTCGTAAGAAATTGGGGAGATTGGAGGAGGCACAACATGGGCCTCGATTTACGGGAGTTGGGGCTCAAATTCTTGGTGCTGATGACAAGTATATTTGCCAATACACTGAAGAATCTCATAACTTTTGGGGAAGTGAGTTTACCCATTCTAAGCTATTAAGTTGTCATTTTTGTTTTTGGAACTGACATTAGATCTTCATATGGTTAGTAGTCAACAAAAGTCACAACTTTAGGTGATGACTTTGTTATAATATTTTGTTTATGCAATCTAGCATCTTCAGTTTGTGCTTACTTCTTGACTTGAGCCATACCTGCTTTTAAATCTTAATAATCCTTATTATGACATGGTTCACAGTGAGGGTATTGCTAGGGGAAGGGGAAAACCAAATTAACATGGATAGAGTTAGTAAGGAAAGATATTATAACATGTTGATGGATTGAGACTATGAATGGGATTCATGGAGCCGATCCCAAGTAGTTGGGGACAGACCTTGTTGAGTTGAGTGTTGCCCATGTAGTTAACCTTTTGTTGATGTAGGATCTTTCTTATCTTGCTCCCCTCGACTTATTGTTTTATTTTTATGCTACAAATGTTGGACCTGTTTAGCTCAGTGTTTATAAATGTCTCTCTGCTCCCTCAATTGCAGAAAACAGAAAACAATATCAGTGGAAACAATAGCGATGAAAACAATATGGGTATATTTAGCTGCTCTGGAAAACTGTTTTCTGTAATTTTATTAAGGCGGTTTTCTGAAAATATTATACGGAGTAATAATTTTTAAAATTTATTTATTTATTATTATTATTATATTTTTGTGTGTGCTCTGCTAGCCAAAGCTACTAAAGTGAGGACATGCCCTTATATATGGATCTTTTTACCTTTTAACTCTAATTTTGTTAAATCTTATAGATAATGTGTTATAAAAAATTATGTAGTTAGAATGTTTTGGGGCCCTTTCGTAATAGGAACATAAATGATCCTGGTCTTGTTATGGGAACTAAATATTTATTATGTATTTAAATAATTCATTAATCAGTTGTCATTTTATAGACAGACATGAGCTGGTGCTGGGGAATACCTTTGTAGCCCAAAAAAATATGCAGCCACCAGAAAAGGAAGTTCCTTCTCAGGTTGCTTTTTTCTTATTATACTCTCTTCTTTTGCTATCAAATTTCAAATTGATTTCATCATTTACTGGCAATTTCTTTAGACCTTTGTTCTTCAGTAGTAAATTTGGTTTGTACATAATTTACTCCAATGATGATGATAAAACTACTGTATTTTATGATCATATTATTAAATATGGCCTTTGATAATATAGTGAAAATGTAAAAAGAAAATTCTTATACGCGAATGTTAATGCTTCCAGCTTTTAACGCTTAAACATAATCTGATCTTTCATGTTCTAGAAATTCCATTGGATGGGCTATGTTATCGTTCCTCTTATTGATCTTGTTTATTAGTCCTTGATATTTTTTTTTACAAGGGATATATAATTGGAAGAAAGTTATGTTTGTTTTACAGTGGTTTTAGCTTTTACTTATCTGATTCATCATGAATGCATAAGGATTTTGATGATATTATTATTTTTAACGTCAAAATGTTAACTAGCCTAGATACATGAGCTGCGTAGAAATATTGACGTCGATAGGGGTGAAGGGTAAGAAGTTTATTTCTATAGGAATGTTAAAAGGATTTTGTTTTCGCAACACAAAAAGGAACCTGGAAAATTTGAGATGTTTTAATCCCATAAAGTTCATAATTTATCTCTGATTTTCTAATCTTCTGTGACTCCAAACTTCTTTTTCTAATTACCGCATGTGCATTTGTAAATTTCTCACAAAATTGTAGGTAGTTATGTAGAATGTCTCATTTTATGAAAAGGAGACAATGAGGTTGCTTATCATAGGTGTTGGTAACTTCTAGCAATAATTTCATTTGGCGTAGTAATTCTTCTGACTTTAATGGTGTCTGGTATATTGGAATAATAGCTTCACATATGGTATGATAATTTTGCAATGTTCACTTCAAACTGTTGCTGGTTATTAAAATAGATCTGCATCGATCTATTTGGTGATGTTATCTTCCTTTGTTTTTACACTTGCATGATTGTTGTCTTGCAACTTGAAAAGTAGGATATTCCCACACTGCGAATGCCCTTTTGACCTTTCTAGTGGACAGAAGTTCCTTTTCTTCTCTTTTCTCCACTCCCTTGTGTTCTTCTCTTTGCAAAGTTGTTAATGTTTGCCAAGGTTATAAAAATACAAATTTGGTGATTATATATCCTCTTACAGGTTTAACTGCGTTATAACTAATAGTTTTATCTTGTCACTCTCTATTTTGTGTTTTGTATAGGATTTCAACCAAAGAGTGTTGGAAGGCTTCCAAGTTACCCCACTTTGGCATCAAGGTTTCATCTGTGATGATGGAAGGTAAATCTTTCTTCAGTTACTTGTTGCAATTGTTTACACATCATGCATTTTTTAGGTTGAGTTTCTGAACCATTTCCTTTTCTCCTACAACTACCTCTTAATAAGCTTTTTATTCGTAGCAGTCTTTCATTAGCAGTAAGTAAATAGCTGCAGATGGTGCATGGACATTGTCCTGTGGTGTAGGAATGTTTATCATCGATGGGGTGTTAGTTGGGACCTGTGATTTTGGTGTTGGCTCTGTGGCCATGGAGTTCATTAAGGCTTCCATTATATCCTTTGTTTAGGTAAACTGCTATTGGATTTGACCAGATTATGCTAGGGTGACTTGTTTGGCAGATGAGAGTCCTGGGTGTTGATCTTTATGTTAGAGGGCTTACTCCTTGTAACAATGGGGTTCATTGTGGGCAGGTAGGTTTTCTCTTGGGGCTTTCTTCTTGCTTATGAATTATTCTAATGGAGAGAAGACATGAGGGAGAGGTCACAAAATGCATTTATTTTTCAAAAATGGAAGTAAAAAGAACAGAAGTTATGCGTCCCTAAAGGGCTTTCTTTTTATTAGGAAATCTAGAAATGAATGCAAACGTTGGAGGTAGGACCTTGCCTCTTTCTATTTAAACAAGAAGATTTGGAGGACCTTGCCCCTTTTATTTAAACAAGAAATTTTGCAGTATATCAATTCTTTATTTAGGTCCCAAGTGAGCCATTCTGTAGGTCCAGAATCCGACCTACAATACCATTCTGCTACAAAATATAATTTTAAACTATGTTTTATTTGTGAGTTATTTTTTGCTGTTCAACATGCCTTGCCTTGTAATGACAGGACAAATTATGTGGACATTGTAAAGACAGCACGTTGGGAGTATAGTACCCGCCCCATCTATGGATGGGGTAATGTTGGGTCTAAACAGAAGTCCACAGCAGGCTGGCTTGCTGCATTTCCTGTATTTGAACCCCATTGGCAAATATGCATGGCTGCTGGACTTTCAACAGGCATTAGCTAACTTCTTTCTTCGTTGGAAATTTTTGACTTTTAGTTGAACTGCTTCATGTTCTATCAATTTCACTATTATACAAGTTTGCTATGTGGAATCTGGGTAGTTGTGAGTATTTTGATCATTTGATGTTAAAACCTATGATGCAAGTGGATTCCGTTGGTTTAATATTTAAACAAGTAATTGATAGTTGTTTTCACTTGAAGGGCTAGACTGGCACCGTGGGCTCTGTACACATGATTCAATTTTAGACCTGGAAAAAGCAGGGAAGGGGGGAGTAGCTCTTGTAGATATCAACTGCCAATAACTGTTTTTCTGAATTATACTTTGATCAATTTTGGTTTTGGTTAATATTACTTATTCACATATCTTAAATACTATCACAAATGAATTCAAATATATAAAGCAGTAAAAAGGGTAAATGGGTGAGATAAAAATGGGAAAACCATGGGACCTTCAGGCCAGGCCCGAATAATCCTCTATAGAGAAATGTGTACAAGTTACATCCCTAGGTACCAGACTCTACCCACTTGAATCTATTAGTCACCTCTGACCTAGACTTGCACAAACATTGCTCCAATGAACACTCTTGCTATCGATTAACAAACTTGGTCTCCAGCAAAGTATGCTCTCCTGGGTTGTTAACTGCTCGTTGGTCTTCAAAGCACCTGATTGATTGTTTGGGTTCCTCTATGCTCTGATGTTTCTCAATCACATAGAAAACAGTTGGCGTGCTATATAAAACCCTAAATTGAATATTAGAGGCTTATAATTTTGTCTCTCTAAAAAATCTCTCTTAAGCATATAGGCTCAGACTGACTATACCCACGTATTCTATAGCAAATATAGAAGTCCTCAACAAAATGTGGGAATGGAATTACTTATTTATAAAATCATTATTTTTCTAAAACCTTCCTTACCACAATTAATCAATCTTGGTCCTTAGGTCTGATACATTGCTAGATTCAATCAAGTGATCAACAACATCGATCGGCCTTCACTGCTTTTCCTCAAAATCTTAAGCCACAGCTTCTCAAATTTTGATTATCTTATTTTAAGTCCTTTTAATACTCAATCCTTGGTCATAGGTGGTCCAACTATCTAGTAAGTTGAACCAACCTAGAATCTAATATCTGCTAAGGTTTCATCTTACATTTTTCTGACCTGTGATTTAGCTTGTTGAATCTGGCACATGATCTTCGTTGTTGCTCCATCTTCATCATCTTGAGTTGTATGCGATGGAGCTAGCAATTTACTCCAGTTGGGTGACTTAAGACATTCAATTTATTTTTAAAGGGCAAACCCAATGCATGAGGCTCCCATGTGGGGTCTGGGGAGGGTTAGATGTATGCTGCCTTACCTATGCATGTGGAGAGGTTGTTTCCTTGTTTCGAACCTGTGACCCTCAGGTCCCAATGGAGCAACCTAACTGTTGCGTCAAGGTTCGTCCTCATATTCAATTTATTATGCTTTTGAATAACCATTTCACAGAACTGTCAATCTATTGTTGTTCGCAATATTCTAATCACATTGTTTTTCTCTTTCTTCCAAAATCAAATTGTTATTTGTTGAAAAGAACAAGATTACGTGAAAAAAAGGAATTAGTTCTCTGGTGTGAATGGACTTAGGGTCAAGAAACCAATTAGAAGAGGGTTTCTAGAACTCTTCTCCATAGCAAGAGATTGAGACGGAGTCAAAGAGAGGTCAGTGGCTGACTCACTCTCTCTCTCTCTATATATATACACACCAAATACTATAAAGAACAAAGAGGTTTTCAGAATCTTGAGAGGGCATTTTACCACCAAACATTCACTTAAGAGGTATCTTCTCAACCTCTCATAAAGTGGTTGAAGGTTCAAGTATTAAAATAAAGTGGGGGCAGCTTCTCCCACTGAGCTCTGTCCCTCTCAGTTGTAGATGTACAGAGTCAGACATTTTGTTCAGCTACAATCTTAGTTTTGTGTTGGATCACCAACACATGACTCAATATTCTAACACCACAGTTGCTGCCAAAATCCTAGAAATTTTCATTCTCAGCCACGGAAGCTCTAGGCTGAAAGCTGTAGGATTAAGGTGCAACACTGGAAGCAACTGCAGAATGTGTGCATACTTCAAATACGAATAATTGAAATTCGCAGCAATTCCTTACATAGGAATGATCAGAGAGTAAAGGACTAAATAGTGGCGAGAATGTGATTTTGTTTTGTTTCGTGTGATTGTCTACCTGCTACTGCAGAGTAAATTTTGCTCATCACCTGGATTATGGAGTCCTATTAGAAAGTTAGAAACAATTTTAATTAGCTGGAGAACTTGTAATTTGAAGGTAGACTAGCAAATGAACAAAATAATCGATGAGTATATGCTTTCTATATTTTGAACTCATCATATTAATTTAATCCTTTTACTTGACCAATGAATACAAAAATCACAGGGTCACCAAAATGAACAAAATAATCGAACTACAATGAAATAAAAACACTTGGTGATCCTGTGATTTTTGTATTCATTCATCAAGTAAAGGATTAAATTAATATGATAGAAAGCATATACTCATTGGTTGTACCAAAACTGATGAGCTATCCAGTGAATGATCCGATTAATGATCCCAAGGTCTTTAATGAATGAAAGAGATCCTAAAATATTTTCTGACACCAAAATGATGTATTTTTTTTTTTCCTAGTTATACCACCAAAATGATGTAGAGCAACCTAACAGCTGTAAACATTCATCTGATTGCATTATCATTATTCATCCATTTGAATTTACTTTATCTTACCAATGCAGGAGACAACTTGGAGATTGGGTTGATAGGATCCTATGTGTTTAAAAATATAGGAATTGAAGTATCCATATGTTTATTGCACATGAATGAAGTCCACTCATTGTTGTTACTATTCTTATTTGCTGCCAGAAAGCAGTTACTGCAATTAACAAATCTCTTAGTGCTTTGTGGGATCTGTTGCAATGAAAGAAGCGTAAATTATGAATGTTTATTTTTAACACAAAGAGGCTAGGGTGTTTATCTAGTATTGAATCATTAAATCTTTGGACACCCCTTTAAGTCCTGTCTACTGGAACATTGTTGATTGCCTTGCTTTTTGTCACTGCTTATGCCTGACATTATTTTGAGAATAATGTTCCATCAACTCTATGTTACGCCAATAAATTGGTTCCATATGACTGTCTAAATACTGTAAAGACAATTTCTTTTGGATTTATCATTTACATCTTACTTGTAATTCCATTTGTTGACATTTAAGATATTTCTTTTCTTTAGATTGTGTATAATTCTGGACCATATTCTCAGGCTTTGATTTTTTTTTCCAGGTTGGATAGAGTGGGATGGTGAAAGGTTTGAGTTCCAAGATGCCCCTTCTTATTCTGAAAAGAATTGGGGTGGAGGCTTCCCAAGAAAATGGTTTTGGGTAAAGTTTTTGCCCTTCCTCAGCATCTTGCTATAGTATAAGATAATATGCTTACTTTGGTTATATCAAGTACTTAGTGAAGAAAAAATAACATAAATAAAAGTGTGTTACTTCCCAAAGATGACCTTAAAAGACTTTTGGCTTAGGTTTTTGTTTTTGTTCTGACGCCATAAGAAATACTCAACTCGACAAAGCCTTTTTCCCAATTCTTTGGAGTCAACTGCATGAATCCTGTTTTGCCGTTCCTCTCTATCTAGGTCCAAAACTTGATTTAATTTTTTTCCTCACTAAATCAAGCCATGTTAGTTTCGGTGTGTTCCCATTCCCCTAGCATGAACCTTAATATGGACCACGTTACTCTTCTTCACCAATACAGTTATTGGTTTTTGCTGCGCATGATGACACCTTCTTAGCCAATTTTTTCTCATTTATCTCCAGTTGGTGCCACTTTAACCGTTTTGTGAATTTGCTCATTTCTAATTTTATCTTTGTATTAACACAATCCTAAAGAATCTAGAAACTGAATGTACTGTTTTCTTTCCCTCAATCTTCAAGAGTTTAATTATTGATTAAAATGAGAAAAATGAAGAGAAATCGTTCGCTAGATGCAAAAAATTTGAAGATACAGATTCCCATTTTGGCTATGGACCACTTTCTGGTAGCTACAGCTGAAAATAATGTTTTATATATTTTAAAAAAATTTCTTGTAGTCCTTAATTGGATGAAGCATTTCCCATCGTGCAATCACAGTGATATCATGGTAGATGTAATGCTCACCTTGTATGGTTGCAAATTACTTACATTTTTAAAGGCTGATGTTTTCTACAGGTCCAATGTAATGTCTTTGAAGGTGCAAGTGGAGAAGTTGCTTTGACCGCAGGTGGAGGATTGAGGCAACTGCCTGGACTAACTGAGACTTTTGAAAATGCTGCACTGGTACTTTTCTATTGGGGTTCTGTACAAATGTTGCCTTTTTACCTTACTTCTGCTTAAGCTTTTTTGTCTGTTATGACTGGAATATTCTTCGATGAGAGGGAAAAAAAAAAGGATACCATATGTATGAACGTGGAGAAAAAAGAGAACAGAACAGAATATAATTACAAGAACGTCTTCTGCTGTAGTCCCTTCTATGTACCTCTGCTTAGCAAAGAAGTTTTCTTAGAGGTTTTTTTTTTTTTTTTTTTTTCCTTCTTTTTTTTATGAAATGTATTATCAAGGTGTGAAATTTGAGCTTTGATACATTACTTTTGTTTCATTTTTTTTTTTTTTTGAATTTTATTTTCGTATTGGAGTAATGGTTGAACTGCACTTTTACCACCCCCAAGCAGTTAGAATAACGGATTTTGTATCGAAAGTTCAGCAGTAATTTAAGACTGATGGTATGATTTCTTCCAAAATGTAATCAGATTGCTACAAGTTTTATTTGGTTGTACTCTAATATTTAAGAAACCACAAGGGTTAATCTTTTTTATCCCATGCATTTTTTTTTTTTTTTTTTGTAGAAATAAATAGATTTTCTCTAATTTTTTCACACATCTTTATCTATAATAAATTCTGGTTCAAGAATAATTACTTTGAAGTTCCTTATTCACCAAGTAGGGGTAATATGTTCCATGCAAAACAGCAGGCACCAGTTGATTTCCATGCAAAACAGCAGGCACAGAGCCATTAACAACACCCCTTTTAGATGCCCCCACTAAATTTTAACATCCCTTAAACATGCCCCAAAACCTACTATAGTCATCCCCTCTATCTCTCTTTAAACTTCACAATATGTGGGGTTTCTTGGATATGGGTTGATCACAAATTTCTAAAATTGTCTTTAGTTACCATCTTGGTCTAGTAAAAAATTCTAAGATTAATTATATTAAACTTGTTAGTTCCCAATTTATACTTTTCTTTATAAATTAGAAATTTTTTGAGAATACATGGTTCTTGTTAGAATGCCTTTAATTTGAATTGCTTTTAATATGTTAGCTTGATAATAACTGAAGGTGGAGTATTTACCGAAAAATAATGAAAATGGAAGTATGAGTGATTTGAGATGAAAATATCTATCAAGTTAAAGTTCTTTTGTTTTATTGTGGTAGTTTGAAAAAAAAAATTCCCGCTTATTATTGTTCAAGGTGGCCGCCCCCTCTCAAATCATTTTCTGGATCCATAACAGCAAAACAGTATGTATGAAATTAAAAATGTGGACATGGGTCTAATTTCCCGCTCATTAGATTATTAGCCCTTCATTCTAAAGTGTTTATATATCTTTCAACTTTTTTGGGTGAATAATGAGACAGTTTTTTGGCCTTCCCTAGCAGGAACGGCTATATATATATATATTAGTGATGTTCATGTTATGTCGTGATATATTCATGCAGATTGGAGTTCACTATGATGGAATTTTCTATGAATTTGTGCCTTGGAATGGAGTTGTTCATTGGGAAATTGCTCAATGGGGTTACTGGTACATATCTGCAGAGAATGAAACACATAAGGTAATCGGGTATTGTTTATTTATTTTGTGTTCTTATGTCACAAAACTAACTTCAGAAGCAAACTCCCAATAGTGTGGTCAGGTTTCCATCGTCAGAACAAGTAATGCTTGATATTTCAAAAGCAGGAAGTTTAAGTTGATCTTATGCAATTTTAAGGAAACCTAATCTAAATATTGTTTGATGAGTGGTTAGTAACGGATGGGATTTGTTACTTCTCTGCAGGTGGAATTAGAAGCAAAAACTAAGGATCCAGGTACCACATTGCGTGCTCCCACATCAGAAGCTGGCCTTGCTCCAGCTTGTAAAGACACTTGTTTTGGTGAGTTAAAACTGCAACTGTGGGAAAGGAGAAATGATGGCAGCAAAGGGAAGGTGCATTTCTTTTTCTTATTCTTTGCATTACTGATTAATTTAAGGCCAAGAAATGCCAGCCTGTTTTTGTCCAAACTATTAAGTTCTATGGATTTCCTTGTGGATTTACTTCTATTACTAGATTGACTAGGCTTTTCAAGTTCATTATTACTCTACAACTTGAATTTGTCAGCCATCATGCCTTCAAATAGCATAAACTAAGATTATTTTAAAATGTGTCACAGTTTCTGAAATTTAGGATTGGCATGTGCCGCATATTATTAAGTTGACCACCTGTGGTTGTGCACCCCTATGAACTCTTTTATGAGAACTTAGCTGTTCCAAGGGTCCTGTATTCATAAATAATTGGGTAAATTACACTTACCTCCCCCGAGGTTTGTCAATAATACAGAGACCTCCCTCTTGTTTTCATAATAATACTGACCTTCCCTGTCGGTAACATGCATCTAACACTGTTGAGAATAAAAGTAAAATTACTCTTTTGCCCATGACTAGAAACACATTAAATAAGCTTCTATAAAAAGACAAAAAGTAACCTAAATCTATTCCACACATGAGAGAGACGTGGATATCTCTAACATTACTCTGTTGTCGCCGGAGAAGGCGAGACCTCTCACATGTTTGTCATCCTCCAATGACGGACTCTTTTTTGTGGTTCAAAGGATGTAAAAAAATAACGGAAAAAATAAAAATTGAAAGGAATTGAAGACTAAATTAACTTTGTCTTGATAAGTCTCCGACGTCTCTGTCCCGCGGGCGGGGGGGGGGGGGGGGGGGGGGGGGGAACCCTTCAATAATCCTAAAAAACTGTTGCTGCCAACAACAATTAGCCACTGAAACAATTGAGAGAGAGGATAGAAATTCTTTTGCATAATATTAGAGGCGTTAGGTTGGAAGCATGTTCAGTCATGCAATCTGAGAATTGGTTGCATTATATATGTATCTCTTAGTTGGTCATCCATTTGGTCAGAATCCAAATGGGTCTAATTGAAATAATTATGGACAACCTATTTTACTCTGAGAGGGAAAGAGATTTTTGTGAGTTAAGGAATTCAAGAAACCAATGAAGACCCTCATTCAAGGCCCACCTGTAAATCTTACCGACATCCCAAAAGGCAATACAACAAAGCAACTAAAACCCCTAGAAACACAAAGTAATTGAATGATACCCGCTTCATTCCTTGGATTTTAATGTAGATCGTTTGTGTTTTCTGCCATGGATAATCACTCACAATTGAGGCTTGAGACTGGTTTTAAGATGGAAAAATGGTTGGGTTCTTCTCACAAGGTGAAGTTGAAGTAACAAACTTGTTCTTGGTTTGATTCATTTCAATAAATTTGATTTGTTTTTCCAAAATTTCTCTCCTAAGGTGAAGACGTGATTTTGAGCTTAAGCTTCTGGTGTCAAAACCAGCTGGCTACTGCCTGTTCCTGTTTCGCTGTTGCTTCACTCCTCCGCCTCCTCTGGCTGTTGGCCTCACCTCCTCCGATAGGTGCTGCTGGTCCACCTCCACATCTCTGTTCTTAGATTACATACATAAATATATGTACACAATCTACAAATATTCATATTTATTACTACTATAAATATAAATGTATATTTTATCAAATCAAATAGGAAGCATGGACGCGGACGCGGACACGGACACGATACGACACGGATGCGAACACGGACACGATATGGACACGGACACGGCGATACGCCAAATCTCAAAAAAATAGGACACGGACATGGCAAGAATACGGCAATAAAATAAAGTTTTAATTTTATTATATACACAATAATAATAATAATAATAATTTTTCCTCAATTTCTTCTCTCTACAAAACCCATTTGGATTTCTTATTTTATAATTTTATTATATACATAAAAAAATTAATTTTTTTTTCTCAATTTCCTCTCTATACATAACCCATTTGGATTTCTTTTTAAGAGATAAAAGGGTAAAATGTATATTAACATTAGAAACTGTATAAGGCCCACAAAAATAGCCCAGTCACAAGGCAAAAGCCCAAACGATACAAAGCAACAAGCTAAGTCCCATCAAGGAAAAGGTCATATTCCCAAATCAGGAAGATTCTATTCAATGGATCTGATCGAACACGCCTCTTTCTTCCTCACTCTCTTCATTCACAAATGTCGATCAGTCTCTCTTTCTGCCGTCCTCCTCCCTCAACTCCTCCACATATTCTCTCTTCCGGAAGGAGAACAGATCTATAACGAACCTTTTCCTTTCTATATTATAATAGAAAATGAATATATATCATGTTCTCTCTTCTCTCTGTTTTCTATGTGTGTGTGTGTGTATATATAATATTTCTGGAGCCGTGTCCCCAACCATGTCGCCAGTGTATCCCCGAAGTGTCGCCAGCGTATCCCTGAAGTGTCAATTCTCTATTATTTAAAAAATATTCCAGGATACCTTTTTGACGTGTCGGACACGTGTCCACACGTGTGTCCGACACGGGTACGTTGGGAGCAACTCACGTATCCATGCTTCATTGGTTATTTCACATTAGACAATTAGGAAAAACGTATTTGCAGATATAACAAGGAATTGGATTTTTATAATTTTTAAGTGATGATCTCAGCAAAATCCATCACTGTCAGATACCTTTAGGACAAGGGGAAATCTGTTACAAAAGTGTAAATGTCAAGGGAGGTCAGTGTTATTATGAAAACAAGAGGGGAGGTCTCTGTAATATTGACAAACCTCAGGGGTGGCAAGTGTAATTTACCTGAAATAATACTGATAAAGAAACATAAAAAGGTGTAATGTACAGGAAGTTGGATTTCTCTGCTTCATGGCGAATATTTTCACATTTTTCTTTTCACGTTTGCCCCTCTCTCTCTCTCTTCCCATTGTTAAAAAGTATTGAAATCAATGCTCCACTAGTTCGCTGACATTTCTAGCTCCCATCTATCTAACCGTTTCTCAGTTCTCATTGATAGCTTCTCACAGATTCCGCTTTGTTTGACCATTAAATTACTAAATCTCCATTTGTTTGCAAATATTTTGAGTGAAAGGAAAAGGCAATGTAAAGGAAATCATATTCTCTTGATTCATTACCTTGGCAGCATATTTAAAGAGAAAATACGGGGAATATAGAAGAGGATTTTAACTTTACATGACATTTTCTTTTTATTTATTTTCCTATATTTAAATTTTTTTTGAGAATTTTTTTTGTTTCTTTATTTATTTTTGGTTGTAAGAAGAAAACATTAAAGAAATTACTTTTCCTTTTAATTTTCCCTAAATTTTCCTTTATGTCGATACAGCCAGAGGCCAAATGGAGCCGGATGGAGAATCTATTGCAATTTCTGGTGCATTTACTTTTTTTTTTTTTTTTTTTTCCCTCCCCGAGTGTGCATCTACTTTTTCATTGACCTTGGAATTAATTTTTCAGCATATCTAAATGATAACAAGATATTATTGCATCCCAGTAATCTGAAACAAGCAAATGGTTTGGTATCAATGTTCAAAGATTGTGTTGAACCACTTACAGAGTGCAATTTTGGTATTTACCATTTGTGGAAGTGATGTCGTGCCAACATAACAGCCTTGTCAAGCTTATGTGGTTGTCAAGGTAGCTTAGTGGAAGACCAAAAGTTATCTTGAAAATTGGCTTGAAATGGAACTACCTATATTTATGTTGTCTAGTATTTTGTGTTGAGCAAGTTGTGTTTAATTTAACAGGGCTGTAGTCTAGTGATACTTCCTCACATTACAAAGTAGAAGGTTGAGGGTTCAAGTTCCCATAGGGGCAAAAGTGGGTATGAGAGTTTCTTGTCAAGGTAAAATAATAATAATAATAATAATAATAAATAAACAAATAAAAAAGAAGGAAAAAGTTGTGTTTAATTTAATATTGTCTTGTTGACATCTTTGTGCTTTGTGTTGGGGTTTGAATTTGTAGAAGAAAATGAAGTAGCATATACATGGCTGATTTATGAAATGATAACTTTTGAATTATATATGATATTTGACAGCATTATAGAGTATAGCTCTTGTTTATCCTACTCCTTTTGGTTACGTCTTCTTCTATATTCTTCTTCCTCCCTCTTATTCACGCGGAAGCTATGTTCTTTTTTTCTTTAATTATTTAGTCTATTGAGATGAATATTGGTCTTTCTTGACTTGCACTCTAGTCTCGCTGATTAAAGCAGTCTATCTCATATCATTGGATTTCATTAACTAAAGGGAAATTTACATGGTATTGCGTGAGATATGTTCGATTGAAGAAAAACAAATTCAGCTTTTGGGTGTTTATTTATTTGACAAAGTTGGCATTACTTTAGATAATCCACAGGGTGACGGCGTGGTTTGAAGTATACAAATTTATCTATTATTTGTGGGGAAATTGTTTTGCCTGTACATCTTTTCTTGTTTGTTTTAATCAGCACGAGCCTTTCAAGAATTCTAGCTCCAGTTTGCCTTTATATTTTGAAGTTGCATATCGGATCTTAAATGTATTTATATTTTATGGACGTTTAACACTTTCATCGTTGTTAATTTGTAGCTCTTGTTTTCACCAGCTTGAGCCTTCCAACAATTCTAGCACCAGTTTGCCTATATATTTTTAAGTTGTATATATACAGATCTTAAACTTTTATTTCATTTATAGATATTTAACACTTTCATCGTTTTAATTTGCAGATTATTTTGGATGTTAGAAGCGACATGGCAGCAGTAGAAGTTGGTGGAGGACCTTGGTTTAACACCTGGAAGGGCAAAACATCGGCACCAGAAATCCTTCGCCATGCCCTTGAGGTTCCAGTTGATGTGGAGGGGATCTTCGATTTCGTTCCACTACTCAAACCCCCTGGTTTATAGTCATATGGTCATTATATACATAGATATATAGACACGCTTACAGTAGAAGCACTTGCATAAATGGTCAAACGTCTTGGCTGTGACAATGCGAATAATGTATTTACTTTGTAAATTCATCGTAGATAAGCAACGTCTGTGTTGAGAAACTTACCTGGGTGGGAAATTGTGATGGTCATGCACTTTGTGTTAGAATTTGTCTTTCTTTTTTTTTTCTTCATAAGAATGCTAACACAATTTTATGTGTAATGGCAAACTCTGACTCAGTTACAATGTAATTCAGCAAAGTGTATGACCTTGAGTCAGTTATAACCACTTGTAATGCTATTGTGCTCTTCTGATGTTTGATCAAGTGTCTTTTCCTTTAAGGGCTGTTTACGCTTGCAATGTGAGGAACAAGTCATTTATTTTGGTCACAGTGAAGAACAATGTTGTGTGTAGCGTGTTAACGAACACGACTTGAAGATAATACGGAGTTAGCATGTTTGGATTAATTTTATCTTAATTGTGTTCGTGTTTTAGAGTTCAACTCGTTTAATTTGATTAATCTATTTAATTAATTGGGTCAGGTCAACCCGATTAACTTCTAACTTGTTTAATCCAATTACAGTGGACATTTCTATTGTATCAAAATGGCTATTGTATTTAGGCTTTTTTATAATTGTATTATTCAAATTTTGACCGGATTTGTCACCCCTTAGATGGGTCATACTTGTCGGCTTTTCATATCTCCAATGCCTACAATTTCTACTTTCTACAAACATTTCTCTAGAAAAATATGCCAACAGTACATCCCGAGCACCTGCTTGTTTTGTCTTTCAACTTTTCTGTGTGTGAAGCTTTGAAAATTCATATTTTTCCAAGGACCACAAATTTTGTGGTTTTTAAGCTGTGAAAATCCATACTTTGCCGGTGAAAAGGACCACAATATCTTTTCGTTAGGACCACAATCTTATCGATCAATAATGGTAGAATCCGACAGCCCATTATAGATCAGATGTTGTGTTGTATTGTATCAGACGGTTTACAACTCGCGTGTCTAAACGAGGTTTACAAAGGCTCATTGCAATTTCTATTACACTTGCCTCAAGACAGAACTTGCTAAATGGTTGATAGAGTCAATTTCAGATACTTAACTCTAATTTGTACTATTCTTTGGGAGTTTTGAATCCTTCACGTTTTTTTGGTTGAACTATCTGAAAGCCGATTAAGCTTAAATATTAAGACAATGTTTGTTTTGACATTCTTTTCAAATATAATATATATATATATTATTTTTATTTTCTGGTGTTTGGCAAAAATTTAAATTGAGCTGGAGATCGAACCTATTGAGTTGTGAACTTGTGAGTGTAAAATAACTTTTTAAAAATTGACGTGTAAGTTATTATTCTTAGATTATAATAAAATATAGTATATATTTTATTTAAATTTTTGACAACCAAACTTTAAAAAATAAAAATAAAAAATTTAAAAATATATTTTACATCTAAACAAACAGACTAAAAAATCATTAATCTAAACATTTTAGTCTCACGAATACTACAAAGTAACATGCATTGAAAAATTCCCAGGATAGATGATTTCTCTCGTTTGGCACTTGAAAAAAGATAAAACTGGATTTAAGTGTGTGTGGACAGAAAAACTGAAAAGCTTGATTTAAGTGTGTTTGGATGATAAAGATTAAGGAAAGAAAATAATGATATTAGCTTTAAAAAGAAAAGAAAAGAAAAAGGAACAAAAATGACTCTGCTCTTTATCCAAGCCAGAAGTGAAAAAGAAAGGAAATCATGTCGTGACACTTTTATCTTGCTCGGAAAGAGAGTGGTGGGACCAAGAAGGAAAACAAATTTTTTTTTTTTTTTTTTTTTTAAGAAAACCACCATAACTTAAAGCAAGCTTAAAAGTAGTATTAGCAAATCACATAAATCTCTCTTCTCCAATTTAATTTTTATTGAAATAATGCACTAGACATCTCTTCACCGATTTAATTTTTATTGAATTAATGCACTAAACATCAAATGATTTAGAACCATTTAATTAATCTTCCTGTAATTAACAGAACTTTTCCATTCACGTCCAGTCAAAAGATATAACGTGTGTGTCGTTATGCACATAATTATATGCATGCACACTTTTGGCTATTCGTGTCACTATCATATTGATTAGTGGATTGGGGCCAAGGCACAGTATTTTTCACATGGTGGTATATGATTTTTTTATTCTTTTTTTCTCCTTTTCACATGGTCTATGATGGCTTAGTACATATGATTATTAAAGTTGTTGCTTGTTATTTATTAAGGTTTTTAATGTGATAATTTGCATGCATATGTACGTACTATATATATTGGTCCCCTATTCTCATCAACTCCCCACTATAAAATCCATCTCCTTTCCCCCCATAATACACACCCATCTCTAGCTGTGTGTGTTAGTGTGAGAGAGAGAGAGAGAGTGAGAAGATGGAAGCTTTTAGAGTTCTCACAATTATTTTTGCTCTCATGTTACTTACTCAACAAGAAACAGATGGTGCAATAGATGCAGAGACACTAGAAATGATCAACCAGGCCAACATGAATGGCCCTTATGTGGGATTGGTGATTCCGAACCTATTTGAGATGAACCCTCTTCTTCAATCTCCAAACTACGTGCCTAGTAATCTCACCATAGATTTTGCAGGTGAACTTACAACACAAAACCCTAATAGCACAATAATATTGGGACATTTTTAGTTTAGTTCTCAAAAAACAGTTTTTCAAAATCTTTCAAAGCACTCTATTTTCATAGAATAGATTGTTATCCACCTCTTTGTTTTCTTTTCTTCTTTTTTTGGTGCCATGGACAACTCAGCTAAAAAGACCTTTGGGTTGCTCTTAATTAGGTCTCTGGTTTGAGTCTCACCGAAAGTGAGGTTTGTGTTAAATTAAATGATGCACATGATTTATGGAAAACTGTGTTCATCCGAAGTTCGTAAATCATTCGAGAGTCCAAAAAAGTGACTAACGGGTGAGCTGGTTTTTTAAAAAAAATGTATAAAATAATGTTCATAGAACTATCAACGAAAATATACTATAAATTTTTGTAGTGTTTTATGTTTTTATGTTCTACCAAACCAGCAATCCCTGGCTTGCTTTCTTAGTTTTTGCTTACACAACCAAACTTTTGTTCTTCGTATCTTTATATGTATTTCATACACCATGTTCTTCTCCTTGTGCTTTTCTTAAGGAAGGAGATTTCGATTCGGAACCATCGAAAAGAAAGAAGTCATACTGGTCATGACAGGGTTAAGCATGGTATTTCTTTTTATTTCTCCTTGAGTTTTCTTAATTTTTATGTGTGTGTGTCTATATATATATATATATATATATATATGAACCTCCCTATGTCCACTTATATATCTTTTTTGGCTATATATATATATATATATATATATATATATATATTATAGATAAATGCAGGTATAACCACACAGCTTTTGTTGAGTTTATTCGATATAGAAGGAGTTGTCCATTATGGAATAGCTGGAAATGCAAACCCTTCTCTCAATATTGGAGATGTCACCATTCCTCAGTATTGGTCCCATACTGCTCTTTGGAATTGGCAGGTACGTACCACAACAAATTACTACTGCTGATGCATAATATTGCATAAGGACAATTTTTATTTTTAAAAATTTTTTGGTTAGTCAAAAGAAAGGACATTTTTTTAGTTTTTTTTTTTTTTTTAAAGGTAAAGTAAATTTATAGATTGAGAAAGGAAAATTGCTAAATAGAAATCTTTGTATCTCTATGATGTGTGTTCATCATATCTCAATATCCACACAACATATGTTACACCTTATATGTTCCAACTCTTTTTCTTTTTTTGGGTTTAATAATACTCACACTACCATTTAATTTTTTCATTTCAACATCAAGCTTCCTAAAAGTCATGTATTTTTATTTATTTTTTATTTTTTATTTTTTGTTGAGTTAAGTAAGTATAAATACACACAATATTGTTCATGCCAAGACTCAAACCCCTCCCCTCTCCCTTCAACTCAAGGAAGGGAGGTTATACTTCCTAATCAATTAAAGTCTAAATTAATATTTTTACCAGTACTAATTACTTTTTTTCTTTATCATATACTAAATTAAAATGGTACTTACAGAGGTTTGGAGATGGGCCTGAAGACGAACTAGCCCTAGAAGTCAATGGAGACTATACAAGAGAAATTGGGTACATCAAATTTCACAATTATATCAGTGGTTTCGCTGGTTGCAGCTTCTTCTCTGACAATCTCTTGAACAATGTCTGGTACCAACCAGAGGAAGTCTTCCCCATTGATGGCACTCCTGAGGAAAGGCAACATGCCTTTTGGATTTCTGTGGATACCCATTATTTTGAAATTTCCAAAACCCTAGAGGTAAAGTTCCTTTAAATTAAATTCCCCAATTTTTTTTTTTCTTCTAAAGTTCAATCAAACAGGTACACACCCGCTAACAGAGTCCAAACTCCAGATCTGCACACAGAGAGGGTTCGAAAAGAGAGGAGTTTGCCTCTTTTTTTTTTTTTTTTTTTTTTTCTTTCTTCTAAAGTTCAATTAAACGCGTACACACTTGGTAACAGAGTCCGAACCCCAAATGTACACACAGAGAGGGTTCGAAAAGAGAGGGGTTTCCCTTTTTTTTTTTTTTTTTTCATTACTGGGGGTATGAGGTTTTGCTTCGACTAATTCACGGGACGCATGCAAGCATAGATCGGGTAAAGCTCAGATTGTAACCGCGAATGTGATCCCTAAGGAATTATTTGCACCTAAAATAAATCGATCTTAAGACCTGAAGGTTCATGAGGAACCAGGACCCAAGTCTTTTCTTCTAGGAAAACCCTTGGGGTTAAAATTACCCTAACTTGATACATTTGTAACCTAATAATTGACTTGGTCTAGTGCAAACTTTAATGTGTTAGGGCTTGGAACTAGAGGGCTGCATAAACTCAACCACATGCTTGTCTGAGACACCAAAGGTGACCACTGTCCAAAGTGGAACAAGCGCAAGCATATACCTTGACAATGCAGCTTATAGGGGCTTCATCTATGACAAGTTCAACGTGAGCCCGGTGGACATGGAAAGCGCGGCAGTGGCACTCATATGTCTGCAGCAAAGGGTGCCTTTCATCACTTTCAGGGCACTGTCTGATTTGGCCGGCGGTGGTTCAGATCAGTCGAATGAGGCTGCTACTTTCGCGTCTCTTGCCGCGAACAATTCTGTCAAAGTTGTGGTAGAATTCATCAAGAACTTGTCTGCAGAAAACTTAGATTTGAATGCTTCTGTGTAGCTTTCTTTTTCTGCTTTCTGCTTCTATTATGTTCATCAAGTAAATAAGTGCCACTTGGAATGCTAATAAAAAAGGAAGAGTGACAATATCCTAAAAATGGTATTCCAATGTTTCTCAGTGCTAATTAAGAAGAAGAGTAAGCAAAATCCAAACTATGTAACTCTGTGTTTCTGTTGCAAATATTTTCAATTTGCAGTAAAATTTATTATATGATAATGGGAAGCGAACTTTGGTACAACAATAAGGCTATTATATCGTGGAATGGAGGTCTTACGTGAAAAATATATATTGATATATATAAAGTCTCTCTCCTTATTATCTAAATCTCATAATAGCAGGAGTCTTATTCATTCTAGAGCCATTAATTTAAAATCTAAAAGTAATATGTTATAATGAAATTACATTGCGTGTTAAATTTATTTATCAAAGTAAAACAATTAAGACAATTAATAACTGTACCTGAAGGAGAGAGAGTCTCTTTCTAACTCCACTGGCAAACAGACCTTTCTGTAATCCATTTTGAACCTTACATCATGCTTAAAGATATTGCAGTCACATCACAACAATTACAAATCCAGCTTTGTAGTCGATTGCATTATTGCACCCAACAAACATATTGCGACTATTCAACTCACACCAGTAATTAATTACTATCTCATAGCGGGATCAAACAGATGGAAAAGTAATATTGTATAATGAAATTGAGTGGATGAAATTTGAAAAGCAAGTAAATGGATAAATTTAGAGGCATCCCCAAGAAAGGAATTGACCAAAAAAAAAAAAAAGGGTGGTCGTTGAAATTGAACTCCTAAAATGATTTTGTCCAACCCATTGGAAAATAAAACATGAGAAAATGATGATCGAAGAGAGATGTATTTGCGACCTTCATTGAACATCACCACCGGCATAGGGTCCGTCCAAGTGATAGAGTCTATTTCATAATTTGTGGCAATGGGAGTCGTGGTCTTATCAATACAACTTTAAATCTTTTGGAGAGTTGGCATTCGATCTTATTCTTGTTGATTCAGCGAGGAGTCGAAAAGAAATAGGGTCATAGTGAGGTCCATCAATTATGGTGGAACTCATCAATGCTTCCATCTTGTTGCCTTTTGTCTACTCCACCAGAAAACACAACGCACGCCGCGTTGCTAGCTAGGACCAACACTAGGTTTTATGGTGTTAGAGCGATGTCATCTTTTACTCCATGGCCTTGGAATAACCATAGAAATCAATGTTAATGTACCAAAGCTCTTATCACATCTGTTTAACGTTCACTCTGAGCACTAACCATGTAAAGAAAAACAATTGACTCGGTTTACTAGTGCTCAGGACTTCAAATTAATTAGATAAAATGCCTAAACTCAACTACATGTTTGACTGAGACACAGAAATACGATGTCATGCAGCCCGGTAAATGTGGAAACCACTGCAGTTGCTATTTAGGATCCCTCTCCGACTTGGGCGGTGGTGGTTCAGCACAATCACAGTTGTGGTGGAAATATTCATTGAACACTTGTTAACCAACTTAACTTTGTATACATTTCATTGAGCTTTCTTATAGTTTCCCTTGACTTCTCAGTGACTTGAATGTAACTAGTAAAGAAAAATGACAAAACTTCAGATGATTTCTTAAAATTTCCAAACCCATGGCTAAGGTAGAAAGTCTTTTTTTCAAACCGTTAGACTATACATGTATTATTATATCCTTACCTATCACATAGGGTTTCTTGTCATAGTTGAATAAGCACGAACAATACTACAACCACACCGACCTTTAGGCCCTGTTTGGTATCTATTTTACTTAATGTGTTTTTGTTGCAGGCTTGTTACAGTAATAATTTTTTAGCCCAAAACATGTTTGGTTTGGTCTACTTTGTTTCCAATAGTGTCAAAACATATTCAATTTTTAGGCCAAAAGTTGAAACACCATTTTGGTATTTTATCGTGTTTTGGGTACTGTTGGCCCAAATAATCACTGTAGCGAAAGAAGTAAAAACACTCACTTAAACCAGACTTGCAACATGTATATAAACCACGCTTAAAACATTTCAGTCATTTTATAGGGTTTTCTAGAGAGCTCGAGCGGAGGCGATTTTGTGGCGACTTTGATGTGTGTGCTTGTTTGACTGAAATCCACGACCGATCCTTGCTTTCAGTGGTGTTTTCACTCAATCTGACCACCAATCTTTACCATTTTGTTGTCTTCGTCAAAGAACAAGGCAGGTTTGAGTAATTTTTGCTTGTTTATTGCACTATGTTGAACATAGTTCATGTTTCTCGGTTCTTTTTTTGACTTTTGTGATTAATAATCGTCAGATCTAAGGTTTGATTTGGTTCATTTTTCTTCAAAAAAAGGTATTGACATTTATATGAAAAGTGCACAAAAAAGTATCAGAAGATGAGACATCAGTAGCAACTTGTTCAGTAACATTTTATATCAGAAGAACTTGCTTCGAAAATAGTCGCAATTGGACTTAACTTGTCTCTTAGCTTTTAATTTTTATTTTATTTATTATTATTCGTGAGTTGTTTTTATATTATTTCATCAAATTATCTCGGTATATGTTATATAAAAGTGTTATGGTTTAGTGCTACTGTAAAAGCTGAAAGTTACTAAATGTAATGACACAAGTTGGACTGAGGTAAACATGATAAAAATCATCATTAACAACGCAAATGAAGCTAGAAGCCAAAACCCAAAGTATAAATCGGAAGAATGCCCCACAAGTCATTTGAAACCCTCTTTGAGGACAATCATTTCTTGAGTGGCTCCATTGGGACTAGAAATTGAAGAAGAATTTGTCGACTACAAATGATGCTATCAAAATTTGTGTCTATGTATATATTGATTTATACTTCTCTGTTTGTACCTCCAGGAGATAGGACCATTAACTTCAGATTGTTAGGAGAAAATTTAAGCAGTTCGGGGCACTTTAGCAGGGAATTGTGCTATGATGGTTTAGTACATATGATTATTAGGCTATGTTTGGTGTAAGTGAATAGAATCAAATGAAGGTGAAATGGAATGTATTTGTTTCCATTCTCTTGTTTGGTGTGTCATATTAAAAGTGGAATGGCCATTTCTAGGGAATGCCCATTCCATCAAAAAGGTAGAATGTCATTCCACTTCTTGAGAGGTGGAATCACATTCCATTCCCACTAAGAATTAATAAAATAATAAAATAATTTAAAGAGATAATTCACGCATACACACATTATATATATATATATATATGCTATTTGTTCCCCTTCTCTCTATCTCGTTTATTTTTCTCTCTCTATTATCTCTTTTCCTTTAATTTTTTTAGTTAATTTTTTTTACTAATAATAAAATGTAATTTAAAAAAATAATATAAATTCATTCTATTCTAACTTTCTTATCAAACATAGGAATGAGAATGAGATTCCATTTTTACACATTCCATGTCTACAACCAAACGATAGAATGAAAATCATTATTCTCATTCCATTCTCATTTCATTCCCACCTCCATTCTCATTCCATTCCAATTCATTCCACCACACCAAACATGCCCTTGTAGTTGTTGCTTGTTATTTAGTAAGGTTTTTAATGTGATAATTTGCATGCATACGTACGTACTATATATATTGGTCCCCTGTTCTCATCAACTCTCCACTATAAAATCCATCTCCTTCCCCCCATAATACAAACCCATCTCTAGCTGTGTGTGTTAGTGTGTGTGTGTGTGTGTGTGTGAGAGAGAGAGAGAGAGAGAGAGAGAGAAGATGGAAGCTTTTAGAGTTCTCACAATTATTTTTGCTCTCATGTTACTTACTCAACAAGAAACAGATGGTGCAATAGATGCAGAGACACTAGAAATGATCAACCAGGCCAACATGAATGGCCCTTATGTGGGATTGGTGATTCCGAACCTAATTGAGATGAACCCTCTTCTTCAATCTCCAAGCTACGTGCCTAGTAATCTCACCATAGATTTTGCAGTGAACTTACAACACAAAACCATAACAGTACAACAATATAGGGACATTTTTTGTTGGGATAATTTTACTTATCTCCCCTGAAGTTAGGGATAATTACAGATAGCACCCCTAACGTTTTAAAAATTACAGAAACCCCCATTAAATGTGACTGGAGTTGAATTCCGATAAAATTCTTGTTAAATGACTAATATATCCTTATTTTATAAAATAAAAAATTACAAAATTACCTACACTCTTTCCCTACCGTCCATTTTTCTCTCTTTCTCTCCGTATCAATCTTTACCCACCCCAACCAGTGGTTGCACCACCACCACCAAAAGGAGAGTTCTCCCAACTCAATCTCCAGTCAGCTACCAATGGCTCCTCATCCCATAGCTTTCTCGACAAGGCAGTCATGGCTCTGTTTTCAAAGCCGTCCTCGACGACGGCAAGCTCATCGCCGTCGTCCAGAGGACCACAACCCTGGACATAATCAATAGTCCTGCATAGAACGAGATCGAGATTCTATAGAGAATTCGAAACATAGGCTGGTCAATTTGTTAGGCTTTGGTATTGATTCGAATGAGAGGAGATTAATTGTGGTGGATTTCATGCCAGGTGTGTAAGATCGGCGGCGGAGAAGAGGCCAGAGATGTCCTTTGTGGTGGATTGCTTAAGAATCGAGGAGAAGAAAGTGAAGTCGCCGATTTGGGACAATATACCGTGAATCAGTGTATATATATATGTGTGTGTATTATATATAGAGAGATTTTTTTTTCCTACCGCGAATCAGTATATATATATATATGTATGTATTATATATGGATTTTCCTACCGCGAATCAGTATATATATATATATATATATATATGTATGTATTATATATATATGGAGAGATTTTTTTTTTTCTATCGTGAATCACCACTGTACCCTCTTCGGCTCCCCTGTTAATGCCTGAGATCAAGTCCTTCTACAGCACTCCTTTTCCTCCACCACGACAATCAACACCACATCGTCGCCGCCGCTGGAGACCATGTCGTTGCCGGCCTTAACGGACCCTCGCCGCCGGCCTGCAAAATTAATAGCGCCACCATCAATGCAGACTGATCGGATTACGGTGCCAACGCATGAGCTCCATCCACGGTGGCTGTGCAGCC